TGTTTCGGAGTTTTTTTCCAAATTTTATATTGTATTTCCAGATGTATGCGAAAAAGCTCAGGCAGGACAGGTTTTTTTTTTGGGGGGGAGGGGGGAGAGAGAGAAGGGGGCTGGTATACCTCATGGCACCATTCACTTTGCAGGAATTCGGGCGAAATCTGTGCTATGCCACATTTAGAGATAAAGGTAGTAAAAAAAAACTGGAAAATTTTGGCAGTTTTTTTGCGTTTAACAGTTTGTAGGTTCGGCAGCATAAAAAAAATACGCCAAGTTTGAAAATTAGGGCAGGAAAGCAATAAATTTATCATGGACATCCCGTAAAAAAGTAGATATGGCTTCAGAAGTTGTTTTGTGGACGCATTATTTTGGAATGAGTTTTTTGTGATTTTGCACTTATGCTGGGAAACTAGTGGATTTATTTTGATCTCAAAAACCCAAAATTTTCTCGTTTAGTTCACTTGAGGTCATAGTGATTTCGAGAACTGCGCTTGTATGAATTGGAAAATTTTAGTAGCCTTAACATTTTTGTGGCCAAATTTTCATTTTTGTACACAACAGTGGTCTACAAATATGATGCGGACTAAGGAAATTAGTATTGCTTGGACTGTATACTGTAGGTGAAAAGAGAGAGATCAGGAAGGGTGGAGGGGGGCGAAGGGGTGTTGGATGATCGGCGAGATGCCGATTTGATGGTTTTGAAGAATGGTTTATTGTGCACGATGTTGGAAGGGAATGGTGGCTTTTCAGGGGAGATATGCCATTGCAAATTTCTTGTCGCCCCGCACATAGCTTCTACTTTTTGCTTTTCGCACATAAAATATGCGAGTGCAACTGGTACTACTACAACAACAGCAAGGATCCTCTTCCCTTTTGCAGCGCCGGGTTTATTAGTTCGCAGAGAGGGAACAGCTGCATTTTTTGCTCATAAAACGCATTTTGCGCTGAGAAACATCTGCATTTCGGCTCTTCGATTGCTCCACTTTTTCGTACAACACTGCTTTCCCATCATCATCATCAGTTTTGCTATGTGTTTGCTTCTGGAAACAGATATATAAGAAAGAAGTGCAGCACAAGAACAGTTTGAAGCTGGAACATAGAAAATTTCTGTTTCTCGGTTGCTTATTTACCACAGACTAGCTGCACAAATTTCTAATATTTTTAGCAAGATTTTGTGGTTTTTTTTTTAATTTTTACTAAAATTTTGTGGTTTTTTAAAATTTTTATCAAAATTTAGTGGTTTTTTAAATTTTTACCAAATATTTTATGGTTGCTTAATTGCCACAGTTTTTAGGCCAGCTTTGCACTTAGTGTTAATATTAGCAATATGCTTCACAAGTAGTGATTATTTTTGTTTTTTTTTTTTGGTTTTTTTGCACTTCATTCAAGGAAGTAAGCCGTAGTTGCTGAAAAGTTTGTTGTTCTGACCAGCTGTTTAAAAAAAACGTGATTGTTTGAGTAGCACTAGAAGTGGTTGTTGTTGATTCAGTACGAGGATGAGATGTATGAATACGAGCGTGAAGCATCCGAATGGTTGCACTGGGTGGAACGTGCCACACGTCTCATGGATGATCGCCAGCTACCGAGCAATATCGGCGAACTGCGCCGACTGGAGCACGACCTAGAGCGTTTCAAAACGGGCGATTTGCCCCCGAAGGCACGCGAGAAGCAACGCCTGGCAGATCAGTATGCCGAGCTTCATCATCTTTTCCAGCGCACCGAACATCTGCGCATCCCACCTGAGCTAAGCACCCAGGCACTGGATCGGGCCTGGCAACGACTTCTTCGTTCACTGAGCCAGCGTTTCACCGTGATCGAAGAGCGTGCTGGCCTTCAGGTATTTTGTAAATCGTTCTCTTCCCCACTGTTGCTACCTGCCTGCCTACCTTTCACAGCTTGCAAACTTCCCCTCATTGCACCAGTTTGGTCAAAAATGTTGAATGTAAATGCTTAAGCAGTGAATGTTGTAGAACAAGTAAGCAGAGGTAGTAAAATTAATGGATTTGGTGGAATTTTTGCAAGCAGACTTGACTTTATGATGACCGGGCATCCGGGCTTTTCATTCACCGTGACATCAAACTTACTCTTAATGAAGGCGAAGAGAATTCATTTGGATTAGCAGTTTTTTACAGGTTTTGTCTGAGCTTTTATGGCTAGGCAAGTTGTAGCATCCAGGTTGACTCTAGAAGCGCAGATGGCGAAGATGCGATGGAATTCAGGAAGAAAGAACGGAAGAGTGAGATAAGACATTTCGATCCATTAAGTCATATACGTCGTCCTAACTCAGCACTACGACTGGACCTCGTCAGTGTGACGGTCGCCATGCTTAAAGAAGAGAAGGAAGGCGGGAATGAAAGCATCCCTTTTGTCTGAAGTTAGGCGTAACTCTTAGATTTTTTTTTTGTCTTCCTGACGTATCTACATTTTTAAGTGAATTTTAGTTGATGCATTGTTGGGGGGTAATTTTTCAAAAATTCCATATAAAAGGAAAATGGAATGCGGTGTGACTGGTAGTGATGGTGGTGGTGCGTAGGCATGGCACTCCTTTCCTCCGGCCCTTTTGCACTTTCCATGTTTCCCATTTTTCCCATCGGCGCCGCATTTTTTTGCTTCTTCATTCACTTTTTTTCCCCCCATTCATCTGCTATGCTTTTCGTCAGCGCACCAAGCATGCTGCCTCCTCGATCACACTGCTTCTGTTTTTGTACGCACCGCCGTTTTATTTGCGTTGCACCTGTTTGTACAAAAGAGTTCCGAAAAAGATTTTTTTTTTTTTAAAGCTGCGCTGTCGCTTTTGCTCACTCCATCATTTTCCATTCCATCCGGTACCGTTGAAAGCAGCTACGCTGTCGGTAACTGCTGAGATGTCACCGAAAGAAGTGCTCGGTTTTTTGACAACGGGAAATATTTTTATCTTCTTAAAGGCACGAAACAGTGAGCGAGGGATTTGGAAGAAAAAAAAACTTGTTTTTTTTTAAAAAAAATTCTTTAAATACCATCATCCTTATTGAACTTCCTGTATCAGTGTTGTTGACATTATTCCTGTCTTTCCGTTCCAGCGCATCTATCCTGTCCTTACTAGGTTCTTTCACTTTCACCAAAATTGCATGAAAAGTTGGATCTTTTGAATATCCTATTGTTTCCAGGGCTCAGCAACCGATATCATCAGTCGCCTAGCACGAGGTATTGGTATAACAAATGAGAAGTTGGATCACATCTTGAACAGAATCGAGGATGCCGAAACACGAAGTGGGTTTAGTAAACGCCGTGTAATTCTTATTTCAAATAGTGCCGAGATAATCTGTATTTTCGGCAGCTGCTAAAACTCGACTGGGCTCAGATCAGCTCAGATTGCTATACGAATTGCGAAACCGCCTGGAGAAACAACATCCATGACAGTTGTGGTGTTACGATTAGCGAAGAAACGAGTGTGTCTCGTAAAACAGCCCGAGCCGAGTTATAGTAGTTGCACATTACCAACTCGGCTCGGCCGCCTTTGTGAGACTCTTCAATTTCTCTACTAAAGCTATTTATGCGTCGCTTTCCAGCACAGTTTGGCACGTTGCCAGCAGGCGTAGGGTAGTGTTACCCAACGCCGGTAGCTGGATAACGTGGTTCAGGATTGTGGGTAATGGAGTCGAGCGTGACTGGAAAGTGGTTGTTAGTGAGTGCCCAGATGCCACTTTGGAGGCACGGATTGGGGGCAGGATAGAGAAGGGGAACAAGGGTACTGATCAAGAGTTCAAAGCAAGAACTGGAGACAGCAATAAAGAAAGATAAAACACAGCAGTACAAAGTAATTTCACAATTGAGCTTATTAATTAAAGAGAAAAAAAGCACAATTAAAGGAACTGAATAAAACGAAAAAAAAGCAAAAGCAAAAATAAACAACTTATGTGGGTGGAAAATTGTCTTACAAATACCTGTCTTCAGCAGGGGGCTTCCTTATTTCCGAAGCTGACAGCGAATAGATCCAACTGGATTTGCATACAAATTCCACACAGTCCGGCAGCACACAGCCAGCCCTTCCTTTCCACATTCACCGTTGGGTAACCCTACCCTGCCATCACCAAGAAAAAATTCCGGGAATTTTTTATTCAGTTAACACCAGGGCGCAGTTCCAAATTTTGTAACAAAAAGATTTTCATATTGCAGTCGACACATCGCGACCTGCGGAGTTACAGCGCCTTATTGATGGAATCATTGATGATCTCATGGCACTTGAAGCACCGATTCTTGGATTTTTTGAAGACGTCGATCAGCTGAAACAAATGCAACATCCAGAGTCAAACGATTATTATCAACAGTATGCCCATTTCTCCCATATTTTTCAGGAATTTTTTCGCCAAACTACATTTTTAAACTAATTAATATACAGTAGCGTTTAATTATACTGCACATCCTGAAATTGTTTTTACGAGGGAATAGTTTTAGCACTATATTTTTGGCCTTTGTCCCTTTCGTTAGAATTGGCAATTGGGTGACCACAAGCGATGCAGCATTCGTCAGATAGCTGGAAAAGTGCTAGTTACATGGAAAATCTGTCCAGTAAATTATATCTGATTCCCCTACGTATTAGATTTTTAGCATAATTATTAGCATATTGTATCTTTTTTTGCTGGCGAAAAGGTGCAGAACATTGAAATAATGCGTATTTGTTATGTTAAAACAAAGCATTCAACTTTTCTCACACATACGTTTTTGCGTACATGCAGGGTTTATGGTTTGGAACAACGTCGGCAGGCATATTTAACGAGATTGCGAACCCAATTTGTTTCACGATTGGGTATTCGAACCGAGCAGTTGATGCGCGAGACGGAACAACGGCGAGCAACTACACGTCGCGTTACATTTGGACGTGTCGAAGATTGTATGCAGTGGATTCGTTCACGCTTGGTAATTTCTGGTTCTAGAAACATTTACAACCTTGCGGAGATTCTGTGCTATGCTTTAACCCTGATAATATGTTAGAAAACCTATGGCTGATACAGGCAAATTCTTTTACATTTCATCGAACGCTTTACTGTAAAATTTCTGCAAGATTTAGTAAACGAGCGAAGTAAACTAACATTGGGTTGTTTTTCAATTAGCATTTAAAACAAGTTGCTGAGGGGACACATACACGCAGATAATCCCATGACAATATGCGTTTTATACAGCTGTTGCACAGCACAAAAATGGAACAGTGCGGGCCTTCGGTAGATGTTTGTAAAGGCATCGCAGTACTTTTGCATAAATTCTCATTCACTTTGTAAAATTTGAGCTGTTTCGAGGTATCCTTATTGAGCATCTTTGCGCTGTTGCGAACTCTGACGCTTCCGACCTACGATGGGATAGTCATTGAAGTAAATTTACAGCTGTTTGTAATAGAATCACAATTATTTAAAGTTGTTAATATGCGAGAAAAGCACTGACAAAAAATATGTCAAAATATTGTATTTGCGTTTGTTGATTTAAAAAAATTGTTTCTTCTGTTTTAAACGAAATTATTTGATTTACAGGAAAAGCTGTCCGAGATGGAGTTTGTTGAGGATTTGGAACAACTTGAAAGTATGTTTGAGGAGCACAAAATCGACAACCATGAGATACAGGACTTCCGACAGAATGTTGACGAATGCATTGCCAGACAGGTTGATTGTTTTCTAACTTGAAATATTCACAGTTATTGACAAATTGTCAAATAGTTATACTCCTCTCAGTGACTGTTAAAAAATGTCGGTGGAATTAGCGAAGAACGTAAATGAAAAAAAAAAAAAGAAATTCCGCCATTGTTAAATTTGGAACAAACGTGCCTTTTGTCATGGACGAGAGCCTAATTTTCCACGCGACTAAATCACTTTTTCAAACATGTAATTGCTAAAATTGTTGCATTTTGGCTGTTAAATTAAATTTGTGAAATTTTGCTTTGGGAACGAATTTTACGGTAACTGCTGCTAATTTTGCGTTATGGCCTAAGAACAGGATTTTTTTTTAAATTAAAATTGAACTGAATTAGTGTTTCTTAAAAGGATGAAGGCGCTTATCCTGTAGCAACTGGTAATAATTGAGTTATTCTCACAGGGCAATCATTCCGCACACTTATATACATTATCCTCGACCTATTGAGCTGGGAAAATATTCGTTAAACATCTATGTGAATGAGGGATGTATGTATATGCGCGTGCGCATATACGTATGTGTGGTGTGTGTGCATGTGTGTATGTGTGTGTACATGTATTTGTATAGGTAGGTGTGTGTGTGTAGGTAGGAGGTAGGTGTGTGTGTAGACCTAAGCAGTAGATGACCTTGGCATAACGGCAAGTTTTCAATGACTTATCCTTTTACACACAGCGAAGAACTATTCCGGGAAGGTCACTGCAAAGCATTTCCGCCATTTAGAACGGGTTCTCATCGAACCTTTTTTGTACTCCTGGTAAAAGAGTCATGCATTTTTACTGTAAAACTTATTAAATCAGCGACAGAATTTGCATTGTTTTGATTTACTAAACTGTATTTAGATCCAGGTATAGGTTTAAATACATATAAAAATGTTTATAAAAGTACAAAATACATTTGGAGGAAAAGAAAGACTGTCGAAATGAATGCGGAAAATTGGCAGTACCAACATACAAGTTGCATTTTTGTCGATGAGTTTACATAAATTTCTCTCGAACCTAATATATATGAGTGAAGTCGCCACTGCTAATGTACGAACAGAGGCGCTTGTGTCGATGGGAATGCGGGAAAAAAAAACTGCTGAAGCAATCACAGAACAAAAAATCATTAGAATTTCATGAAACACGTTTTGGAATGTATGAATACACCCCGTTTCCCTCCTCCCCCGCCCCGCCCCTGTG